ACCCCGCACGAAACTGGGTTTGCTCGGGTTTCGACTGTCAGAACTCCTGCAGCTTTTTCCTCAATGTACCTTGCATAGCACATGCTCCGGTCAAACATGCAATGGTCCGCGGAGCGCCGCAGAAATCATGGGCAGAGCTCGGCAGCAAACGGCGAAAGCAACTTTTGACGGAGTGGTTGGAGGAGATCAAACCGTATGTGCACTCCGGCAAGGATTGTGGGCTGGTGGTAGACGTGATTTCCTCAGAACTGGGTACAATCCACGGTCTTGGGCGCCGCAGTAAGGAGGAGGATGGAAAGTGCGAACGCTTATTGTTTCAACTCGGAGCTTTACGCCAGGGCGTGCCAAAGACGCATGCGCTAAACAAACCTTCTATCAGCGTATCTCAACTCGATTCGGCAGTGCAGGAGGTCGGCATGAACATGGATGAGCTTCGGAAGTGCCAATACCCAATTTCCAAACGTTCCTTGAAGTCCTTTGCTTCTACTTCAGCACCTTCGAAAAAGCCTGGTCGCAAAACAAAAGTGCACAATCAGAGTTTGATTGATTTGGTAAAGCAGCAACTTCAGCAGTATGTCAAAGAGTCCGAGCGTGTCGTTGTCATTGGGCGAGGAACGAGTCGAAAAATGGCTTTGGCGCAGCACCTGACCAAGAAGAGGTACCGCATTTACATGGAGGAGCCTTCCCTGCACAGGGCTATGTCATGGACGGTTTTCCACCGCATTCTGAAACTGCACTTCCCGTATGTCAAGAACCCCAGGCGCCGCACAGATGTTTGCTCACATTGCAAACACTTGGAAACAGGTCTCCTACCCAAAGCCTTGCGAGCTATGGACAAGAACAGGAAACAACTGACAGCCATTTGGCCCGACTACTTCCGTGCATTTGATGCTTCCACAGTCGTTCAAGGCAAGAAAAAGGATCCCGACAAGTTCCCTTTCTTGGCACGCTTCGTTTCCTATGTCAACCGTCAAAACTTCGATGCGATGAACAACTCGGAACGGCAGCAGGCGCTGACAGGATCAGAAAAGTTGTCTTTGCATATGGCGGAAGCCGCCACAGTTCACGAGATGAAAGCTCATGTTGAGTTAGTGGAAGCTTACAGGTGGCATCAGATTTCCGCTCGTAGGCAAGATGCGGCTCTTACCTCCCGCGTTTCTGGAACGGGTTTGGGCATGAACGAAGCGCTTCTTCAAGTAGACTTCAAGGAGAACGTCCGTTACCCGCTGAGTTTCTTGTCGGATGTATCTTTGAAGCTGTTGTTTTTTGTCGCACTCTGTTCGACAAACGACATGGGCAACTAGTGCAGACA